CGAATTATAGCGATTTTTTGGATTGTGCTCGTATTTTAGAAAGTTTATTCAAGATTATTCCATGATTTCGAAGCCATTGTCTGATCTAAACAAAGACAGCGCGGCATTTAAATTTGATGAAGGTGAGCTTAAAGTTTTCGAAGCGTTAAAAAATAAGCTTAGCACAGCGTCGATATTAGCCATTTACAATCCGAAAGACGAAACAGAATTGCATTGTGACGCCAGTGCGATAGGGTATGATGCAGTTCTGATACAGAGAAAATCGGATCGCAAATTACATCTGGTATTTTATTTTTCGAAGCAGTTTATTACAGAAGCGAATTGTCACAGCTACGAATTGACAACTCTTGCAATAATTTACGCACTAAAACGTTTTAGAATTTATTTACAAAATGTCAAATTTGAAATTGTTACTGATTGTAATTCTCTTGCCATGATTTTAAATAAAAAGGATATTAACTCTAGGATTACCAGATGGGCGTTAGAATTGCTCAACTACGGTTATGAATTAGAACATAAGCCCGAAGTGCGAATGAAACACATTGACGCACTTAGTCGAACGGTGAGAATTGTGGAGGAAAATCTTTTTGAATGGAATCATATGCTTAGTCAAGGACAAGATTTGAAAATTGTGGATGTGAGGAATCAACTTGAACAGTCGGAAAGTAAATTTTTTTAATTGCGTAATGGACTCATGTATAGGAAAAAACGATAAACTATTGTTTTATGTTCCTGGGATACTGGAAAACAATGTTATTTATAAATATCACGATGAAATGGAACATTTTGAGATTGAGAAAACTATTTAAGCTATTTTGCAGAATTATTGGTTTCCTAAACTACATCTGTGCCAGCGTAAGTGCTGGTAATCTGTCCACTAGATCCACCACGTGGTGACGGTGGAAGATCGTATTATTAATTGGGAGCAGAAGAGGGGGCTGCTTAGGCGTAGTGGTTTAGGATGGACTACTCGAGGAGGCTTCCATTCATACTGGTGGTGAGTCAAGACTCATCGCTGAGCGGCTACGGGCGCCAATTTTCAATCGTTATGATTTGGACCGCTCTGGAGACGTGCTGGGGATTTCGTCTCTCCGTGACAATCGGCACTGCATCCATTGAGCGAGATTCCAACATCGCTCTGGAGTCGTATGTACTGTGTTAGAGTGGCGTAAGGTGCGAGGTCTGAATAGCTCAGTGGTAAGAGCAGTTGCCCGGAAAGCGAAAGACTCGGGTTCGATTCCCGATTCAGCCACTTGTACCTCGCATATTTTTTCAGACCCGCAAATGTTGTTTTCTAACAATTATTTGTCGGGCTGAGGAAGTGTGTAAACGCCCTACACAGACACGACAGTGCCGCTGCCACGGAAGGGATGGATGCTTGGTTCGTGCCTCCTCCCGCCTTAAATCCCCCCCTCGCTTCACTCGCTGAGAAAAGATAGGACATATTAAAAATTGTTTAAAATGTATTGCTTACGCGTCTAAAACGGAGAAGGCAGAGGGATTTTTGAATATTATTCCTAAGGGTAACGTTCCATTCGCTACTTTGCATTAACCATATAGGGTCGATAGATAAACATACCGTTAAGTGACATATTTTAGTTATAGTTGACGCTTTCACTAAATTTGTAGAATTGTATGCAGTTAAAACGACAGCTAGCAAGAAAGAAATTTGACAATTTAAAACAATACTTTCACAATTATAGTCGTCCTTTAATAATTATGTAACGGGCCACTTCACGGGCGGTGCGCGAATAACGCAATCGAGATCAGGATTCGTGAATGGTTAAGACAATACGAAAGACGCGTAGTTTAAATGGTCTTTTATTTGCCTCTGTCGGCAATGGTCAATTTCGCAATGTTAAATCCCGCGAAGCGGGAGCGCGGCGGATGTTATAGCGCAAAGAATTTAAGATGCGGCAGTTGGTGGTGCAATATGCGCGGGCGGATGATACTTCAACATGATAATACAGCGCGCAGGATACTAATATAAAGGCGCGGCGGTTATTCGGCACGCGGCACTTAGTGCGCGAACGGCGAAACCGTGATTTAGAATAGCGCGTGAAAGCGTCGAGATATAATAACGCGGCGCGTATTCCCAGATGTTCGGAGATTACATCCGGGAATCGGGAAATCCCGACCGGAGCGGAGAACTCTCCGTCCCTGTTCCGAGTGCGGATTTAGTAAATGACCGGCGGAGCCGAGAAAACTCGGCGGAACAGCGAACTCGCTGTCCCACGGTCCGGCTGGCCAAAGCAATCGGATGTTAGACCGTGTGCTGGAGTACTCTCCAGCAGAGCAGCGAACACTTCGCTCTCGTTCTGTGCGGTCGGAATAGAAGGATTCGCAGTAGGAGCGGATGTCGAGAATGCTCGGCGGAGATTGCGAACTTGTCAACCTCTCGTTCCGTCGTTTTGCGATTGTAAGAATCGATCTCTAATTGATCTCGTGCATACTGCTTGGGCGGATTCAGGTACTGGTCTGGTGCCGAGATGTAATTTGGCAGTCTTTTTATACCTGATAATTAATGGTATACGCATCGTTTCCCTACGATGGGGGAGAGGCGGCGTTTCGGCAGGAGGCGCTCGGCGCTATTCGGGAGCGCTTGGCGCCGTTCGGTTTCGGCGCGGGTCGTAACGGCGGCCGTATAACGGTCGTACAGCCGTTTAATACGTAAAGATTTAAAAAAGGCGCTAAGCGCCTCTGCCCCTTCTCGACTGGTGTTCGCTGATGGCAGACGGCTGATCAACGTGCCGGGTAACGATGGAGGGTGCATCGTTACAATCGTAACGGATCGAGGGACGTGTCTTACTTCGAATGAATTCTTAAAGTTCTTGCAAAAAAATAATGTAAAACATATTAAGATGGCGACAGGTTGGCCTCAAGCCAATAGGCAAGAGCAACTCATCAATCGAGTCCTAATTCCCATATTAGGGAAAATGTCAAATAACTCAATGGCGAAATTTTGGTATAGCACTTTGCCGGAAATAGAGTATGCATTCAAACAAATTCAGTTAGTAAGACCATCGGGTGTACTCCGAGCCAGCTGTTATTTGGGATTGGTCAGCGCGGGAAATCTGTAACGATACACCCTCATCATTACCCGGCGGTCAACTGCCGGGTAACGAATCTATCGACAGCCTTAAGGAATATTTACAGTATACTGACGATACTGAAGGAATAGATATTATTAAAGTTAGAAATGACACTGCCGATAAAACTCGCAAATCTAAAATGTATAATAAGGCGTATGTTGCGTGCGTGCGTGCGTTATAGCATGTAAGGAATTATGTTAAGTTTCTACTTTGTGATACAAATTGTATTGAGAATGGACATGTTATACTTGTGTGTTAGCCGAGAACAGCCTAATGGTCAGAACAGCCGAACTGTAAGAACAAAGCGAGACGCATTAAGAAATGTAAACAGTCACTAGATGAAGGAAGGACGTGACTAATTGTACACAGTCAGTCAGTCTCGAGCCTTTGCCGCGACAAGACGAGTAAATCAATCAATACTAAACACTTTCCTAATTCTCATCGATTCTTATATTATTCTTAATTAGAATATAATTACAATATAATACAATATGAATAAATTATTATATAGTTCTATATACTTTACATATTTAGATAGGATTTTAAACAATATAATATATTACAATATAATTTATTTGATTATTAAATCCAATAAACTGTAATACAATAAATTATACGGTACATAAAGTAACATTTTAATATTAATTAATTAATTCTTACTAAACTATGTCATTAATCTTTTGTATTTTTTGTGTTAACATAAAACAAATATTTCAAAAATTTGCTGGAACTTTTTTTATCTGATATAATATGGACATAATATGCAAAACAATACGCGAGATTTTTGTGGGAAATAAAATCCCATTCTTATGTTTTTTTTACCTGAAACGCACTAAGATGACGACAATAGCATACAGCTATCAGTTTGATATATAAAAAATACACATCTTTGATGAACTTATAATAATACGCTTAATTTTTCCAAACGTGGTGTTAATGTCTGTATTTATAATATATTGTTTTATCCCGTTTATTGCTATCCATTTACAGTAATTGTAACATCGTAATCTTTAAAAATATTGGAAGGGAGAAATTTATTAAAAAGTCCATATTTATTTATTAAATTCAATTTTGAAATAATAATTCCTAAACTTATTCGATCTTCAAAGACTTGGTTACAAAGAAATCTGTAGCAAAGCTGTAAAAAAGTGTCTACCCTGAACCTGATTGCATTCTTTGTCATGCATTGCTTCTGTGCTTCTAAACCAATGACCTACGTAGATGGCAGCAAGAGGCCAATTATAGCGCAGAATGCAATCACGTTCAGGGTAGACACTTTGAACATCTTCTGTAAGTGTCTGCAAGTGTACTTGAAATAATTCATCTCATAATTATACGTAATAAATGTCACCTAAAATCCCTGTCTGCGCGGTCGCGTAGCTTCTAAACGACACGACAGAAAACATTGGTTGCTTCACAAAAATGGTCCTTTCTGTGAGATCTATCGTTCCTCAGAGTTTGTCGCAGAGACTTTTCATCACCCTGTATATACAGGGTTAAAAAAAAACAATTCAATATTTAGATGGTAGGATACACCATACTGACTAAAAAAACATTAGTAAACATAGGTCGAAAGCTCAACGGTTTTTGAGATATAAACTTACATCTTCGTCATTCGCGAATCGAGTTCACCCGATTACGAGTGATATTCAATGCGTTACGATGAATGGCACTACGCTAAATGACCACCTGCGTGCCGATCCTAAATTGCAACAGGATATCGCGGCTATAATGTTAAAGTGGTGACAACATCGCTTTGTCTCTACTGCGGACATCACGAAGATGTTCCGACAGATTTTAGTTCGGCGATTGCTTACAGTTATTTATGGTACGTCTCCTGCCTTGTACCTTTCTATGCGTGTTTTGTTACAGCTCGCCGACGACGAAAGGGAGATGTTTCCTGAAGCAATGTCAGCTTTGCGTCATGTCCTCTGTGTGGATGACGTTCTATTCGGAGCGGATAGCGTTGAGGCTGCTCGCCAGATTCGTAAACAACTCAATATATTATTAAATCGAGGCGGCTTCCATTTGCGCAAGTGGATCTCGAATGATCTGGCACTGCTGAGAGATATTCCAACTATCGAACATGAATTAGCCGTCGAGCACCCACTCAAGGGAAACGACACATCAAAGATATTCGATTCGACATGGCTACTGCGCGAGGCGCTACACGTTTCGATTCCAGGTCGGGACTTTACCTACTCCAAATCACACGAAGTCTTCGGTTCTTTAGTTTATCTATTCGACTTTTTATGGTTGGGCGTCTCCCGTAATCATCACGGCGAAAATCCTAATGTAAAATCTTTGACTCATGAAGATCGATTGGGATGATCCTATTCCCTCTGAACTCCTAGAAAAATGGGAGGAATATTATTAAAATCTACCGTGTCTTTTCAAAACTTGTATCCCACGGTGGACCGGGAATTTTCGCCAAGAACACGCGTTCGAATTGCACGTATTCTCAGATACGTCCGAGAGAGCATATTCTGCAGTAATTTATTTGCGTGCTTTGTGTTCTTCTAATGATAAGTGACTTTATTAACTGTCAAAACAAAAGTCGCTCTTCTCAAAACCGTCAGCATTTCGCGGTTAGAGCTGAATGGAGCATTATTATTAGTAAGATTATTAGAATTCGTACGGAACTCTCTCGTTTTCGAAGCGATTCCCGCGCACGGATGGACGGATTCCCGCGACGAATTCAACGGTGACATTGGCATGGATGTCTTAACATCCATCGAAATGGAAGTCATATGTCGCTAATCGAGTCTGTGAAAGTCAAACTCGCGTGCCAGACATTAGATGACATCATCGCGTCGCATTCAAACCCGGCGGACTGCGCTTCTCGCGGCATTCCCGTTTAGGCTTATCTTGAACATCTCCTGTGGTGGCAAGGCCCACAATGGCTATCCCACCTGTCAGTTTATTGGCCGAATCCTCAGTCAACCAAAAGGACTGATGCAGATTGCTTCCGTGCATCAGTCTCACACGAGGAGCGTAAAATCGCTGCATGTCACATCGCCGTGACACGCGAAGAATGGGATTTGACGACCCGTTTTTCAAACTGGGCAGAACTGCTCAGAATTACCGCGTTAGTTCTGAGTTTTATTCGAAAAATTCGCGATTGAATCGCGAAGAAACCTGTAAATAACTCTCCGTCCTTTACCGAAAAAATCCGAAATGCGCGATTATTCTGGATACGATATATCCAGCAAGCGTCCTTTGGTCCTGAAATTCGCGCTTCAAAAGAAGATTCAGGCTTGCCGAAATCGAACTCACTAAAAGCTCTCAATCTATTCCTCGACGGAAATGGAGTTATTCATCTTGGCGGGAGACTCCGTCACTCATTCCTCTCATATGATGAAAGATTTCCAGTTATTCTCCCAAGGCATCGATTATCTGCGTTAATAGCAGAAAATGCTCATCGAAGAGCACGGGAGCACACAGTTAACCTTATGAATCTTACGCCAGAATTTCTGAATTCTCGGAGCATGCTCTTTTATCAAAGGTATTTATTACAAATCGATGTGTACCCTGTCTTCGCAAACGCGCAGACACGTCTCAACAACTTATGGGTGATTCACCGCCGTCCAGAGTCACACCGTTGGCTGCATTCTCCCATGGCGGGATGGACTACGCAGATACAATATAGATTAGTCCCTATGTAGGCCGCGGCCAACGCACACGTAAAGGCTACGTTGCGATCTTCGTTTGCTTAGCCATTAACCGTTCATTTAGAGCTTGTAGATGACTACGAAATTGCGGGATTTCTTGCGGCGTTTGGATGCTTTTCTAGTCGTCGGCTTCCGTCGCGCATGTACAGCGATCATGGTACAAAATTTCAAGCTGCCGACCGCTAGCTTTGCCGAGCTTTTCAATTGATCCGCAAAGCCCGCGAACTTTATGATATCCTCGCGAATGATAAAGTCACTTCATTTCTGCTGCCGCGCCCCATTTTGATGGCATTTGGGATGCAGGTGTTAAGAGCTTCAAGCTCCGCTTCTCGCCATTTGAATTGAGTCATAGGATCACATACTCATTATTATGTCAAATAGAAGCCTGTCTCAATTCGCGGCCGATTACCGCCTTCAAGGACGATCCCGAAGACTTCGCCGCATTGATTCCAGGGCATTTTTTGAAAAGTAAACTCCATGCGAACGTATAAAAACCGTCCCTGTTGGACATACAGGAAAATCGCGTATCCCGCTAGCAACGTGTTCAGGCGATACGGGAAAGCATCTGGCGAACATCGTCTGATGACTATCTACACACCCTGTACCAGAAATCAAAATGGTAAGGTGCCGAAAATGAGCTGAAAGTCTTTAAATAAAATAAGTGCTGTTGTAAAATAAAAGATGAGAGTAATTATTCAGAATCACGGCTCCACCTGCGAATGGGCTGCAAATTTTTTTACGGACTTTTTATGTTTAGAAAGAAACATAAATAACCATTTTTAGTTGGAGGAGGCCCAAAAAAAAAGTTATAGACCAAAAAAGGGTAATTATTTCAAATAAGGTCTTTTCTGAATTTTGACAAATATGATCGGATCTCTCGGTAAAACTTTTTGTTGTGACTCCAACAGTGATAATTAGTCGGAGGAGCCCGTCCCCCATCACCCCCAAAAAACGAAAAACCCCAAAAATTACCGAAAATTAGGTAATTATGTACTATAAAGTTTACCCCACAACCCAAACCAAATTTTAGTTTTAAATCAGAAATAGGTTTGGGTTAGGTTATATCTTCCGGAAGTGGAGCCCTTCGGAGGGGGGGGGGGCGGAACCCACTGCGTCCACGCATACACTTTTCCATTCACACAACAATTGTGGGGTGGACCTCGCTTCGCGTTGTAAAGTATATGCTTGGACACAGTGGGTTCAGCCCCCCTACGGGGGGACTCCACTTCCGGAAGATATAACCTAACACAAACTTATTTTTAATTTAAAACTAAAATTTGGTTTGGGTTGTGGGGTGGACCTCGCTTTGCTATGGTAATTTTGAGGGTTTTTCGGTTTTTATGGGGGAATGAGGGCGATGGGGGACGTGCTTCCCCAACTGATTATCACTGTTGAAGTCACTACAAAGAATTTTACCGAGAGATCCGATCATATTTGTCAAAATTCAGAAATAGTCTTATTCGAAATAATTATCATAATTATCTTTTTTTGGTCTATAACTTTTTCTTTGGGCTTCCCCTAACTAAAAATGGTTATTTATATTTCTTTCTAAACATAAAAAGTCCGTAAAAAAATTTGCAGCCCAGTTGCAGGTGGAGCCGTGATTCTGAATAATTACCAAGGTGAGAAACTGTATAAGATTACAAAAAAAGAATGTTTCGTCACTGTCGTCACGAGGCGGAATGTTGAATGTTAAAGTTTAAGATGTTATTTCTGTCTCGAATTTATTTTATTATTTCTTCCCGGTGTCAATGGCACGCAAAATCGGAATGCCGGGATATTAAAAAATTTTAATTAAAGAAACTTGGCGCTGCTAACTTTTAAAGTATATATTAAAATCAACAAACAATAAATTTAATTTAGATCTAAATTTAATTTAGAATTATATTTAATTTAGATATAGGGTGTTCTTGGGTTAAATGGCCAAACTTGAAATATGAATTTAGGACCTTAAAACAAGAAAAAATTTTCCTCTGGAAGTATGTTCGCAAACGCTTCATTCAAGAGATATTGACTTCTGAAGTTATGAACTATAGGAACAAATAATTTTGAAATGTTTTTTTTTTATTTTTGTTTTGAAGATCGAAGGTCATTGACAAGTTTACGAAGTGCCTATTAATGACCTTCAATCACTAAAACGAAGGATAATGCAAGCGTGCGAAGAAATGACAGATGTACAATGTCAATCAGCTACTCATTCTGTCATCGATAGGTGCAATTGTCTCCGAGCTGAAGGCCATCATTTTGAACAAAAAATTTAATTATTAAATTTTGATTATTGTACAGCAATAAATAAAATAAACCTAGATTATTTCGAAATTATTCGTTCCTATAGTTCATAATTTCAGAAGTTAATATCTCTTTGTAACGACAGAATCGTTCCTGTACATACTATGTAAATATATGTATATAACAACGCATACCTCGCTTTCTCACCCTGCTATACCTATCCTACTCACGCATACGCTACTCACGCTATCTCGCTCGCACGCACGCCGCTTGGGCTATCTCGCTCGCACGTACGCTGCTCGTGCTATCTCGCTCGCACGTACGCCACTCGGGCTATCTCGCTCGCACGTACGCCGCTCGTGCTATCTCGCTCGCACGTATGCCGCTCGTGCTATATCTCGTCGTCCCCCCGCGGAATCGACTCCCATCAGCGGACCGACAACGTATAGTGGGGGCGCCGGCCGGGGATATAAGCCCGGCCGGCCGAGACATCAGGACCAGATCCCATCCTGCGATCCGACTCCCGACACCGACCTAACCAGCTATCTCTTGGGACTAAGACTTTTCTTAGCTCTGCCGGGTTTCTCTGGCTCTCGCTACCTTAGGGGCCGAGGTTTCTCTTGGCCCTACCGGGTTTCTCCGGTTCCTCGTACCAGCCCGGGCTGAGGTTTTCTCAGCCCCGCCGGGTTTCTCCGGTTTCCGTTGCAGGCGGAGGTCGACGTGACACTCGGGACTGCCGGCAATACCCAGCCGCCTAGCCTAATCGTAGTCGTAAGTGCATGTAGATACCGCGCCATAATTATAAACCTGCTAGTAATAAGTCCGGTTAATTATAAGTCCGCGCCTGCGAATCGCGCCGTAATTATAAGCCTGCTAGTAATAAGCCCGTTTAATCATAAGTCCGCTCCCGCTAATCGCGTCGTAGTTATAAACCGCTAGGAACAAGCCCGGCCGGAATAACCGCGTCGCGATCAACTCGCGTGTATATAACGTCACCGTAGATACTAAGCTAACGCGCGTGTACATAAAGTCATAGTAGATATTAAGTCGAATCCGCTTCGCGCTGCACGCCGCTTCACGCCGACCGCTTCGCGCTTGCACTTCCCGCTGCGCTCGCGTCCTAGCGCCCGTTTGCTGCCAAGCGCACGCCGCCTAACCCCGCACGGCCCTGCACGCTACTTTGTATATATTTCGCTTTCAATAAACTATCTTTTCTACCTATACTGTGTCTACGCAAGCTTGAGTCTCCCCTCCTCTCGAACCCGGACACCGACGAGCCGATCCGAGCGTCGAGCGCGTTACATCTTGAACGAAGCGTTTGCGAGCATACTTCCACAGGAAAATTTTTTCTTGTTTTAAAGTTCTCAATTCATATTTCAAGTTTGGCCATTTAACCCGGGATCACCCTGTATAGCTGCAATGTAAATGTAT